GGCCTTGGTGTTATCAGCACCGCACTCTCCCGAGTGAGCCACGGGCCGGCCCAAATTTTATTAATACACTTTCATATTAATTTTTATTTTTCTTTGACCTAACGAGTTAAATGAGAAATAAATTTGTTACAGCAGCACAATTTTGTTGACTTAAAGGTAACTATATTGAGTAACTAGAATTAATAGCTTGTATTTTATCCTTCACAGGTGGAATTTTTGTGACTCACTTTTACAGAGACAGTCTGATGAGGAAGAATATTCCTATCCTGAACTGGTGAAAGTGGTTTGGTATAAGGGTGTTACATTTAGGTAAGACACCTGTGTTGGAGTTGGAGCTACTTAATGATGTCACAGTGGGGAAGGGACTAGCCTTGCAGACAGACTTTCACAAGAGGACACAGTTTTTCCAGGCCATCTGTGCTCCTATTGCTTGGTCCTGAATCTTATAGGTCTCAAAACTAATTTTATTAGTGCGTACAGGGGTCTTGTGACTCACGTTTACCAGGTTTACAAGATTTATGTGGCAACTCCAAAGCCAGTGAGGGATTAGTTTTGCTAGTGACTGTAATATTCATATTAGTTATTTAGGATACCCCTTCCAAGCATCAGAGGATCTAGTTGTCTGAATTAGCCATATCAGAAGGTTGCCTAGTGACCTGGAATTAGAGAAGAAGTTAGATAATCTAAGAGAGATTTTGGCCTTCATGAAGCAAATATTCACTGAGTGGCTGCTCTATTCTAGCACTATTTCATTCCATTAGTCCTACTCCACAACAAAAGACACGTCCCTAGTGCAGTATTAGTGTTGGCCAGATTGAGAGTTTCACTTCCATGAATAATACTAGAAGAAAGCTGCTTATATGGGGGCAGGGGAAGGGTGTTGGGGTGAGGGGCTCTCCTTTTCTTGCATGAAGGCCGAACCTCTTTTGACAACATAGTTTTCATATATGTTCCAATAAGATTAACTTGGCTTAAGTTTTTATATGGTATATTACCCAGTACCTTGATTGTACCTGGCTGCTTCAAGTACAATCAGTCACTTTCTCTTGTGGGTGACTCCTTGTATAGATGGCTAATCTCGTTTATCCAGTATTGATTCTACTAGTTTTATTATTAAAGAATAATCTTATTTTCAGGTTCTGGAAGTGTTGTGTTTCACTTCTACAAAATAGACTTTGCTTTAGCTGACTATTATGTGCCAGCCTCTGTGGTTGGCAGCGTGAATACCAGGAAGATGATATTACAAGATGCCTAAATTCCAGAAGTCCTAAGCTTAGTTATTAAAAAACATAAACCAGGGCCGGCCCGGTGGCGCACTGGATAAGTGCGCCGCTTGGGAAGCGCAGCGGCGCTC